GAATACATGTTAAATGAGTATATGAGTAGAGTTAAGTGATAACATTGCAAGAGTTTATAAGTCTAAATATTTCAAGAAGTATTCTGATAGACTTTGTTATGAATATTGCAAATAAACATTGAAAAATATTTACCAAGATACGTCTCAAGAGTTAATAAAATTTCTCTTTACACTGTCATTTTAGTAATAACAGTTTGCAAATGGTTTATGAAAAAAAAACACAATTAGTTTTTTTTTTGTTTTAATATCAACTACTACCCTCTTCCCCTAACCAAAATGAGACATTGTCCTCAATGTTCTAAGGTAGAAAGATAAAGTATAGAAGACATCACTTGAAATAGCGATTACTGACAAACCTGAAATACACTTTAAAAAATATAAGAAACAACAAAACATAAATATTATGCTCTATTAATAAAACCAAAAGACATAAATTTTTACAAACTAAGACTCAAATTGTAGTTATGATTGTGGCTTATACCTTTCCTTGGTTTTACTTCTAAGAACGACTTGAACGTCCTTTATGGATCGAGGATAGACTTCCCATCCAATTTTCTTAAAAACTAGCAAACATGGTATTTTTTTATTTAGATTCTCAAAACTATGCCAAACATGTTCTTATAAAAATGGGGTCATAAGTCATGAATTGCATGATGCATATCTCCACTATGATGAGACTTAAGAGTCAATAGAAGATTATCTAAAGACTCTCTGTGTTTTGAAATAAATCCCACTTTTTGACAATCTTCACAGGTTTTGCGGAATGCATGTGAGTCTTTGAACATGGTAGGCTAATAAAATCCACTTTGTAAGATTTTTGCAGTCCTCTTTTCTTGCTGAGAAATGATCCTCATATGCCTTAAAGTGACAAAATTTGATGACATTACTTACCTCATTGTCGGGAATATATCTTTGAAATATTCGATTAGAACAATATTTGAATAAGTAAGGGTCATCCTAATAAAAATTCTTCACTTCGTTCAAGAACTTTCTTTCATTTTGGGTATCCAAATGAGCTGTCAAAAATGTTGAAGCACGAAAATTGATATTTTTAGCAAACCAAGGCATTGAACTAAGAGAAAATAAAGATTCACTAGAAAAGTAATCATTGATTGGTGTGATGTTAATAATCGAATTTATTATCACTCTTGATAAAAGATCCACATTGATATTTTTGGTGCCTTTTTCATCCTCGATTTCTTCCTGAGAATAAAT